AGAACTGTAAAACCAAGCTAAGAACATTCCGTGATTCTCCCGAGAATTCCTCAATCAAAATTTGAGGCAAATCGGCCAAGGTGTTTCTGAGTTATGATCGGACATACAAACAGACAAACAGAGATTACTAAATCAATTTAGCAAAATGTGAACATGTCTTGTTTGGATCTAATGATTTTTATTATATTGAAAGACCAAAATGCGATTGAATTCAAATAGATGAAACCGAACACATCTCGCCCTTGGTTAGTCCAGTTTGATTTATGATGTTATGATTAGTTTTTTTACTAGTATTTTACTCTTTTTATTATAATTCTAATTTAAGGGCATTTTGAATGTTTTTTTTTAAAGTTGCATAATGGAAAATAATTTAGTGCAGAAAGCAGCTAGATGTTTATTGAAAATATATTTATTTATTAATATTTTATTAAAAAGCCGGATCAACTAAATCGGAAAAAACCCTAATTTTATTCGTAATATCGTAATATCGTAATATTGTAATATCGTAATATCGTAATATCGTAATATCGTAATATCGTAATATCGTAATATCGCAATATCGTAATATCGTAATATTGTAATATCGCAATATCGTAATATCGAACTAACCAAGGCATTTCGAAATTGTTTCGAATTGTTAAGAATAAAAACATTGCAAAGTTTAATGAAAGCAATTAGAATACAGTTCTGAATTAAAGATTTATTAATAAAAATAAAGTAACTAAAGCGATTAAACAATATTTAAATCAACATTATATTAAGTTGCAATAATATCCACAGGGAGTGTCCGAAAAAAAAAAATAAGATCCATGGAAAATTTGGTAAAGCCTGTTTTAATTAATTCTAAAACAAAAGTTGAGGCTAATTGAATCCCCCCGGCCCTCACCACCTTAGCTTTATAGACCACCCCCCCCCCTACTCCCCACCCTAGCTTTTATACAGACCACTGCAGTTGAAATTAAAGTAAAGTCAGCTAGACTTAAATACTGCAAGTCAGAACTACAGATTTGTGCAAATTATTGCGGGTTAAACAATTTTTAAATTTATTTAATATCTTTAAAAAGTGGTGAACCATGACGTATAAACTGTCCCTTGTATTTATGAAAAGTCATCCAATCACAACATCTGATTTTCAAGTTTAAAGGGACTGTGTAGGCGAAATTTATGTGAGCCCCAATTTATTGTGTCCGATTCACATGGATGCCCTTTAAACATTTAACTGAGAAAAAATTAAGGCAGATATCGTCGTTACATATCTGGAAAAGTGTTGAATTCTGACAATTGATCCCTCTTATTCTCCTGCTACATAAATGTGCATGTCACTATTATAAAGAAAAGCAACTAAAATTATTCAATTTTTATGGAGGAAAATGGCATAACTGCATTACTTTTTCTCAGACAAAAAGGGTTCGGATGGGAATCGAACATGCCAATCTACAAATCTAAGTTTACTTGAAATCACGTTTACAGTCCCTTTAAGAGATTCTGAATTTATAAGAAGAGAAGATTCTAATGATACGAATATCGGCAATCTCTGATTTCATTGTTCTAAAAACTACAAAGGAATTCAGTCTTAGTCACAATCTCAGATTTTCTAATCCCTATATCTTTGCAATCCTTCGTCGAAGATCTTATAAATTTCAAACTAAACATTCTGTTAAATTAAATAATCTATGTTGGAAATATAAAAAGTTTACACCATCAGGGTGCAGAGATATAGGGATTAGAAAGTTTAAGTTTTTGGCAAACACTCAATCAATTCTTTGATTTTAAGACAATGTCATTTGGTAAAAAAATGTTCCTCTTATTTTTCTAAGACCCACCTGTACGACCTCAACAACCTCAACATATAACATTAGAAGATAAAATATATGTCTTCAGCGAATATTTTGGGTTAAGCTCAGTTAATCTAATTTCTTGTTTAAGCAGGGCCGAGCGCTGCTTGAATTTCATATTCGTTGGTTAGGTGATCATCAATTAGGGACTGTTAACGTAATTTTAAGTGACTTCCATCGATAAAGTGTCCGATTCACGACGTTACCTTTAAAAGCTTTGCCTGAATGAATTAGATATCCATGTCAGCTTTTAACTGTTTATTTTTATGTGTGGTTTCTCTGCCAAAGTGACTGGCGCATTTCTCGCTTTTGAAAAAATGGCGATATTTTCTTAGTTAAAAACTTTAAAATGTTTGCCACATTTATCATCAGATTAAGGCTTCACTAGGATATACTGTTGCGAATCGGGCATGCCCCTTTTAAGTGGAGGGTCACTCCAAATTACACGAGGACAGTTCCTTTAAGNCTTTTTTACCTATACGGTACCTTTTTGTTTTGATTTTTGTATAAATAATTTATCTTAAAAACATACATTTGACTAGCATGAGCTCTGAGTTATCTAATATTTTAACTATCCCTATATATAACAATATAAAGATATACAGTTTTCAAGTCGTAAAATAATTATTGTTTTTTCATCAACAATGAACATGACACCATGATGTTCAACAAAAATAAACACTTAAAGCACAACAACAAAAACATGTTAAGACAAACCAGTTTAATTTAAACCAGGCAAAGTTAATGTTATACACGTGCAAATTTGCAACATCTTTACTCATCCAGTTTTAATACTTAAGAAAATTGAACCTAGTAGGTTTTTACATGAGGAGATTCGTTGTTTTTTTAAGCTGCCATTTTTCATTCGTAATATTAAAAAACAAAAATCGGATTTTTAAAATTTAAAAAAATTTATTTTTTAAGGAACAATTTTTCCGACTTAAACCTTCCCTGAGGGTCATGTAAGTTGCCACAGAAGGAGAAGGTAAAATTTATGTAACATTACTGATTTGACTTTGAAGCCTCGTAGCTCCTCTAGGTTTGATTTTATGTACAAGTATGAGAAAAACAGTTTTGTTCGATCATAGTTTAGAAATTCAAAACAGTTTTGTTCGATCATAGTTTAGAAATTCAAAACAGTTTTGTTCGATCATAGTTTAGAAATTCAAAACAGTTTTGTTCTTTTCAACAGCTTTTCATTGAGAGAAGTTGTGATTGAAAACATAAGAGCTTTTAATTTTATACGTTCAATTTTCTTTTGTTTGACACAGTTTGACGCGATTTATATATCCAAAGTCAAACACAGGCCTATGGGGAAGGCAAGTTTGCAGTGCAAATCGTTTCCAAATGTACAACTTGACATCTCCTATATTGGTCGTCAAATGTACGGAGAAATATCTATCAATCATATAAGAATTTAGCATCAGACATCTAGCGGCCAACATATCGTCCCCCAAAGTACGTGAACTACACGACCACTTTCTATGGAGAGAACGGGCTCAGAGGGAGAGGGGTGCAGGGTGCAGGGTGCAGGGTGCAGGGTGCAGGGTGCAGGGTGCAGGTGTGGATTCTTCTATATGAAGAGATATATTTTTATTTTTGGTTGGCTTAACCATAAAATTAAAAAGTGAATAAAAAAATAAAAACAGCAAGCTGAACATGAGACAGAGATGGTATTGCAGGGCTAGAAGGTATCAGGAGGCTCCGGAGGTCATTTCACGGATCTCATGGCCGCTCTTCACTCCCTCCATCCCTCCTATGACGCCTTTTATTGTCGATTTGCTGTCCAATCTACGTAAGTTCTTTTATCTAGATATTGGTTGAATTACAAGATATAAAGGAATTGAGTCTTTGCCACAAACTCAAATTTTCAAATAATCCCTATTTCTTTGAAACCTAATGATGTAAACCTTTGATATTTCTAATTTAGATTATCTGGTCTAACAGAATTCATAGTTTGAAATATCTAAGGTTTATGATATTGGGTTGCAAAGATATATATAGGAATTATAAAATCAGAGTTTTTTTTTGCAAAAACTCAATTCCTTTATCGAATTATGTAATATGTCATAGTAGTTGATTTTGTATATAAGCTCTCCTTTCAACCATATCCAAGTACAGTATACCCTTTCCATTCAGAACAGGGCGTTTGAGGAAAATACAAGTATAACCCAAGTTTTAATTTTTTTTTCGATCTCAATTGGAGAATTAGACAATAAAATATTTGAACAATACACTTTATCTATTGTACTTATATGTTGGTAAATGCACGTTACAAAAGGTAATACAATTATGTCAAGAATATTCATTAAATAGTGTGTCATGTAAACGTATATTTTAGTAAGTGTGAATCTTAATCAAACTTGCCACGATTGCTGTAATTTTATTTCTTTCCAATGTCTTCCAAACATATTTTTAAGAACATTTCCCTAAGAAGGATTCTCATAGTTACTCCAGCCGTTTACCCGCACTTAGCCAATTTTTATCGGTAATCTAAATTTTCGTTATAAAAGTCGACCCAATTAATTTAGAATCTTAAAATCAAGCTAAGAACATTCCTGTGGCTTTCCCGAGTGCCCCAATCAAAATTTGAAGCAAATCGGTCAAGTGGTTCTTTAGTTATGATCGGACAAATACACAAACACCCAGACAAACAAAGATTACAACTTTATATATATCTAGATGGATGTAAATAAAATGTTTTTCCAGTTTATGTTGAAATGTATAATATTAAAACAGTTAAAGTATCGTTCTAAAATCAACAAAGAAACCATGAGAATAGAGTTAAATGATGGTACAAAAGTTTAGGCGTGAAGAGTGGCAAGAAGGGGGTGGTCTCCCCCCCCCTCCTATGCAAATATAAATATTTAGTTGAATTTATTGTTTAAATCTCCTTTAAATGCAATACATGCAAACATGACAAACTTTTGTAAAACTTTGTAAATTGAATTGAATCTTATAGTACTCCACTATACAGTATCCGTACTGTAGAACACCATTCTCTACATGAAGTAGAGAATATTATATAGAGGAAAGCGGAGCCATAACTGGAGGAGGGGGGGGAAACGGGCTAGTGCCCCCCCAGTGAGATTAAATTTAATGTAAAATAAGTGGTGTTTGGCTGTGTAAAAGGGTGTTGCCATCCCTGTTTATNTCAGTTACTGGCCTGAGATAAGTGTTTCTCTTCGTAGGTTTTTTATTTTCTCACTCTCATCAAATCTGAAAAAGAAGTTTAAAGTGAACATTTCATGTAACTGTTCACAAATTATATCCATTATACTTTGTAATTTGAAAAGAGGCTTTTGCCAAAAATTGTGCAAAATGTAAAAAAATGTAATATATTTTTAATATACAATATATCAAGTTGACAACATTTTGGAAAACCTTTTAGACGTTCAATCTTCCTTTGGTGTACTTTATGTCATTAATCAATTATCGGAACTCAAAGACGATATTCAAGTTGGCTCTCGATTCCTACGAAACATGACGCCAAGAAGATCGTCTTTGTTCTTTAGTCGTTAACCTACTTTTATAAAAAAATTTAATTTTTTCCCCTTAGTTTGTCTGCTTCAAAAACGTGACTTGCAAATTTTGCTTGAGGAACAACTGGAGGAAATTGTCAGAATTATACACTCGGGAAAACGACTATATCTTCCACAAAATTTGTTAGAGAAAGCTTTAAAGGATACCGTTCGGTCATCCCACCTTATATATAGATGGAGAGTCACCTCTGTCTACAGTTCCTTTATAAGAGCTAGCTGACAAGTTTTTAATCGAGAATTTAGTTGAAGCAACGCTCCAACTAACTTTAAAAATGAATTTTCGAAAATTTTCCTTGTAAGTTTGTTTATTATGTCCCTGTCTATGACCCCTTGCCTGTATGACATTATAAATGACGGTTCGAAACTTAAGACTATATAAATTCAAGAAACCCGGTTTTACAATCCAAGCTTAGCAGTTTTGTTCTAACAGAATTCAAAACTGAGTTTCTTAAATTTAATGTTGAAACTGAGTTTCTATAACTCTGTGAAGGAAACAGAGTTTCCCCGTACAAGGTTTCGTTTTATTGCGATGTTTTGATGTTGAGTGCAGAGAGTAGAAGCTACGGTACCTGTCACTGTTTCATTAGTTACAACACCTCAATACAGCCGCGGTCAGTTCTCATCAGTAGAGTTCAGGGTTTTGACATGTAAACATCCCGCCGCTACCAGTCTAGTAGTACATAAAGTTGGAGTAATAGACGTGAAATAGGAGCAGTGATAAGCTTTACTTTCGTAACAGTGATTTAGCGCAGCGCATTTAAAAGTTATAGTCTAGTATTTTTTTGTCTTTTTAAAAGTCTACCAGGGGTCTATGTTTTGTCAAGGTCAACATAGGTATGTTTTGTATGTTTTCTCAAGGTTTTTGTGTCTACCATGTTTTTATTGTATGCAATACCTGCTTTATTGGCGTTGATATTAGATATCTCAGTGTTCTATTTGATGGAAATCCCAGATGAATTCCCTTAATCTCCAATCCAATTCCTAACCATGGAAATGTTAAAGAATATCCTTCCGAATCTTGCCGAGCCGAGCTTGCTAGATTTATTTAGGAACAAGATTTTTTTTGACTTTCCTGTTTTGCACGAGATTTTCTTTACCTAAAGTGCTATTGAGAAGCTTTTCTGAAATTTTATAATTACCTAGATTCCTTGAACGTTTTTCTCTCTCTTTAACCGATCAGTTTTTAAATCTGATTACAGGTTTACCCATGAAGAATGAGACTTCAGAATTGACTCTTGGAATTTACTTTTTTTTTTTCTGACATTAAGGACATTTAATTAAAATATTAGGAACAACCCAATATCAAAGATGTGAAAAACTAGTCGAATTAAATAGACAAGGTAGTAGGTACTGATGATCAACATTTTGAGGTCCGTTTTAAACATTTAAAGTTTTGAGACTTTTACAAGGTTTTTTTCAATATGTTTTGCTTGGTAATCTTGCTTTCAATACATTATGCAAAATTTATCAAAGATATTAACAAAAACGAATTTTCAAAACGATTAATAAAAATGTTTTGAAAATTGTTTTTATTAATCCTTTTTACCTCTTTAGTGTAAATACCTTGATACATTCTGAAGATTGAAAAAAATGTATTTATTACAATGGCGAAAGAAAGAAAATAGGACAGTATTTCTATTTATAAACAGTGCAATATAATCTGTAGTGTACAGTCAAGGGAAATGTAAATTTACAATCAACCTATAGAGAGACTAGTTGCAAGCATTTAACTATTGTGAAAGCATCATTCATTCCTTATTTTATACACTAATATACTAGACGTAAAGCATTAGATCCGCGAAAATGCTGTTATGTTGTTTATCCATTGTATAAAATAAATTGTGCATAAACATAAGTACAGTGATAACCAGAAAACTGTAGATTAGGAAGACGACAGTAAAGCAATACTTATGTTGTATTGCAAAGAAAATAGATTGAGTAGTAAAATTATAATTTACATTAATTTGACGAATGCACGTGGGTATTTTTAACATTGCAATCAATCTTATGCTAAAGTGAATAGATACCTTGAAAATATTTTTAATCCTGACTTTATAATCCCTTCATATATACTGTAGACTTAATCATTAAGTTCTTATTATATGTTTCTAGTGAATTAATTCATTATTCATCTACTGAGTCAAATAGCTTTTGTAATGTTTTGAACAGCTGAGAAGTCAGAACTTTTGTAATGTTTTGAACAGCTGAGAAGTCAGAACTTTTGTATTGTTTTGAACAGCTGAGAAGTCAGAACTTTTGTAATGTTCTGAACAGCTGAGAAGTCAGAACTTTTGTAATGTTCTGAACAGCTGAGAAGTCAGAACTTTTGTAATGTTTTGAACAGCTGAGAAGTCAGAACTTTTGTAATGTTTTGAACAGCTGAGAAGTCAGAACTTTTGTTTTGTAAATCTCAGGATCAAGGATTGATCTCCAACCTATGCAGATCTACAGATAAAGATAATTTCTCTTCGATATCTATTGGTGGTCATACCCTGCAAGGATAACTAAAATGAAGAGATCAAGCGTTGATCCTCACATTTAAATTAATGGTGATAACATTGGATATTGAGATCACGCGATACTTAACACAAAAGTTCCCAGTTCTGTAGGGTTATTGAATAGGTTCAAGAATGCTGCGGGGGGGGGGCTATGGGCGCTTAGTCCCCCGGCCGGGATCAGTGATCTTCAGGAGGTTTTTGGTCCGCTGAGCCCCCTGGACAAATTCCTGAATACGACCATGACTGCACACCATGTTTTTAGGATACATTTAATTTATGTAAAATTTGTTAAGCGTCGCCTTTCTCAAACCTTTTATTGTAAAATTTTGAAATATCGCACAGTTCTTATTTTATCAAGTGTATTGCGCTTATTGTTATGAATACTCATGCATCATTTATGATTCTAAAAAAATGTCACATGTTACATTCATGATTTAGGCATTGAAAATGGTGTAAAACACTTGTAAAGTGCATTGAGCTGCAAAACATTAATTGAATTTTATAATCAAGGATTTCATGATATTTTAAATAATTTATACGAATTTTACAAATTATTATGCTTAAGATTTTTACAATAAAAAATTGAGTATTTGGCACAAACTCTGATTTTGCAAACCAATGTCGTTTACCTAAGATATTTAAAGAAATCCAGTCAGAGCTCCTTTATTCTTCAAAAACTCAGCTCCTTTATTCTTCAAAAACTCAGCTCCTTTATTCTTCAAAAACTCAGCTCCTTTATTCTTCAAAAACTCAGCTCCTTTATTCTTCAAAAGCTCAGCTCCTTTATTCTTCAAATAGTGCTCTCCGCATCTGGACTGTGTGGAGATATAATTAAAGAGTACATTGTTTTAATATTGATTTAAATTGATTTACTTTTAAGGGGAGTGTTCACGAAAAATGAAAGGGGGTATAGGCTTAATGCGATAAAAAGCGCTTTTGATCGCCACTAATCTTACTTCTATCTGTTGCGTCTATAAGGAGAAAATTGTTAAAGACGTCTCATACCGAATAACTTGGCGTCATACAAATTCAGAAAATTGCCACATACGACTTAGACCGTAAAAAATCAATTTAATTTCAAACAAATCATTCAGATATTACATCCTATTGTCATCGATTATCTTTCGCCACATTTGTATATAATTTATATTTTATAATATTTTATTTTTTTAGAAAACGTTTTAACGGATTTCGAAAAATGTGAGTGGTGCGCGGCATTCTTAGATAGTTGTGCAAGCAACAAGAGAAAGAATCAAATTCAAAACAAATTAGTTAAAAAATATTATAAAATATAAACTGGGGATTTTAAACTTTGATAAATATTTTTTTTCAAAAGTTTATTTGGTCAAGATTTTTATGTGAAGAAGCGCCTACAACGCTTGATATAGATATATACTGCGGGCACTTTTAAATTTCAGGATCAAGGAATTTATCCCTAATTTCAGTTTGTCTGAAAACATTTAAAAAACCAGTTTTAAGAATTTCTTGGAGGGAATTCCAAGATTTTATCTAATATATACTGCAGTGAACTTTCAACATATTAATAGAAAACTACTTTAGTTATTGTGAATCCACTTTTCTTTAGCTAGGCAACAACCAGAAACTACTCCCCTAGAAATCTTGTTGAGAGGGAGGGAAGTGGGAGAGTAATATGGACAGTAGCTTAGCATTATTCCTTTGTAAGTTTAGAAAAAAATTCTATATTCTCATGTGAAACTTTAATTCTTGTTAAAATGAATTGCACGAATTTCATAAATATATAATATACAATATTTAGCCATATATTATATATATACATATATTATATATATACATATATTATATATACATATATTATATATACATATATTATATTCAATATGCAAACACTTAGACTTAATTAATTTATTAGTTTAGATCTGATTAAACTTAATTAAATTAAATTATGTGTAAATGTAGCAAAATTATAATCTAGACTAAAGTTCTCAAAAAGGATTCAAAAAGTTTTCCTCTTTTTAAGAGCTAATGATAAGAGAAACGTATTGAAATTTCTTTATCCAATTAGAAATGTTTGCATTTTCATATTCTTGAGGTCAAATTGGAAATTGAAGGAGTTACGAGAGCGCAGAGTCGCACCTGTAATTCCGCATTAATTTGAGCTAATTTATCTTGAGACAAGGATAAAATCGAGAAGTAGAAAAATATAAAAAATTTCACAAAAACGGTTTGAATTCTAAAATTCCAATTAAACTTATTGTAATTGTACGGTTGTACACTTCAGTACGGTACAATTTCATTGGTTAGGGCATCCTAGAACTATAAGTGGGTACCGGTACACTGTACAGTATATGCTGATCTTAAAGTTAAAAACTGTTTTCAATTTTCATTTAAAGAAAACTACTTTGTTATATTTATTATCCGCCACACGTAGATGATAAAGTTCTATCTTGAGAACCCAGCTTTGCCTGTAGTTTTTCCTATAAAAGTCAACTCACTCAACTTAGAATCGGTCCAGGGACTCACGAATCGGACATACAAACACCCAAACAGAGAGACAAACAGAGAGACAAACAGAGGTGACTAATTCAATTTTAGCTTGAAGACTCAGTTTTGCCTAGAAACTAATTATTCCCTATAAAAGTCAAAAAGTCGACCTACTTTACCTAAAATTTGAAAACCAAGCTTATAACGTTCCTGCTCTTCCCCTAAGTTCCCCAATTAAAATTTAAGGCACATCGGTCCAGGGGTTCCTGAGTTATGATCGGACAAAAAACAGACGAACTTAGATTACAACTTTTTATATATGAGATAAGACAATTTTAAAGCATAATTCGAAGATCAAATTTTAAAAAAGTGAAAAAGTAATTTGAGTTTTTTTCTCCAATAAATGAGGTGAGGATTCAAATTTCAATTTATTTCAATTTACAAGATAAATGGCTTTCATTGTGCAGAGCTGTACTATTTACTTTAATACAATGTCAAATTTAAGAAACTATTTTTTTATCTTTTCAGGTAGGAAAAAGAATTTTATGATTTTTTCTTAGTTTTTTTTAAAGTTTAGAGTTTAGACTCCATTTATCATTGACAAAATGAAACAATAAACTAATACAAAAACAAAATAAAATTACAAGTGTTTCATAGCAGAATATTTAAGAAATAGATTCAAGGAATCAATTATTTCTATCTTGTAAGAATAAAATTTTTTATAATATTAAAATTATTTAAATGTTTAAACATGTAAAAAAATGCTGAAAGTTAAATTGAAAAAAAAAGATTGAGTTGTAATTTGCTTTAACTCTCTTTAATCATGTGCTTTGAATTCCTTTTTTCACCGTTTTGTCTTGAAGTTTGAATTTTGACCTATGAATTAGATATTCGTTGACACGTTTATGTTTAGTGCATTTTAAAGCATAAATAATACAGCCACAATCAAATTAATGTACACGTGACAAACAAATCAAAAAACAAAACAAAAAATGTGTATTAATAAACGTAATTTGGGGGATATATTCAAAACAAGACGTAGTTTTCTATTTCAGAAATAATTTTTTACTTATTTTTTTCCTTCACAGGA